TTTTTATCTAATACATATATGTCTGGTCTTTTGTGGTATTGTCCATCACTTTTATGCATTATTTGTTTGTTCAATATCATTGTAATGTCTTTATATTGGAACATTGTTTCATATGGGGGTTTTTTATATTATTTATTTCATGTATATTTTCTTATTAATCAATATTATAATGCCAATATTGTCATATTTTTCTATTTGTGATTTTTTATGATAAATACAAGATAGCAGAATGTGTTGTACTGTTGTTATCTTGTCTTTACATAGTGGGCAGTATTTCAATTCTTTCATTTTTCATTATTTTTGATTTTCTATACCCACAAAATATTGCTCCATCTTGCATTTTAGTTAATTGTAGAAATGCATTTTTTTTAATATTGATGGACTTCCATGCTTTCACTGTAGTAGTTTTATCTACTCCTTTTGACTCAAACCATCTTCTAACATGTCATTTGTTTGATGGGACTTCCATATTTTGATGTATTTGTCAATAATTTCTTTATTTCTATTACTATTTCTTTTTCTTTTTTCTTTTCAATAAATTCATTTATTATTTCTTCTATTTTTGTTTCTGGGATTTTATGACCTAGGGCTTTTTTAATTCTATTCCATATTCCCTTCTTACTGTACCATCTCTCTAATATGTTATTTCCTATTTCACTTTCTCTGGTACAGTAGTACATCACTGTTCTTACTAATTCAATAACATATTCGTCCATTATGTTTATTAATCCTTCACCCATTTCTTCTATAATAACATACAACCTATCTTTGGAGTTTCACCAATGTATTTCGCCTTTCTTATTTATTTTCTTATCTCCAAATCAATTTTGTCTAGGTTAGTGATTTTCCAATTCACAACTGATGCTGAATATCTGAAGATAGGGATTACTTCATTGTTTATTCTAGTAATATATCTTATATTACTACTTTCATCAGTGTTTATTTCTTCCATCTTCTGATTCATTTTTTCTTTGATGGATTTACAATTGAAGGTGTCATCAATTTCATCGGACTGCCATATTCCTAAGTATTTATACAAGTCCTCACCTTCAACTACGGGGATGTTTTGCATTTCATTTGGTATTTCCTTAATGTTTTTTAATACCATTCCTGACTTTTTCTCATTCATTTCCATCAATATGTAACTTATTATTTCTTTAATTTCATTGTGGATTATTCCCATTTCTTCACTACTTTCTGTCATTATTCTCATTTCATCCATATATAAAGTGTGATTTGCTTTTGGGAATTTCTCTTCGATGATTTGAGAAATTATATTCATCTGTATGATGAAGAGTAGATTTGATAATGAATCACCTTGTAAAATTCCTCTATTTAATTTAATACATCATAGATATTCATTAAATTTATAGCCGATGAATATCTTCCATCTAGTCATCATACTTTCAATAATGTCTATGATGACTCCCTCTACATTGAAATATTTTAATGTTTCAATTACCCATTCGTGGTTGACAGTGTCATATGCTTTCTTAATGTCATAATATGACTCCACATATTTTGGGTATTTCTCTTCTTTCTGCTGCTTCATCATAAAACTATTAATTATTCATTCTTTAGCAGCTAAAGACTGTAACTTACATCCCAATTGGTTTCTACTGATTTTAAATGATTCATTATTCATGTTAAATCTTCTGTGAATCTTTTCTTTTAATATTGAGGTAAATACTTTCATAATTACATTTGTACAACTGATAGGACGATAATTAGTGACGTCGTTCCTATCACCTTGTGGATTAATAAAGTTCTTCCACTTACCATGTCTAATGGGATGTTTTCAGGGAAGTTCAACCATTCATTGAAGATATTAAGAATGATTTCTCATGATGATGACATCATTTTCCAATAATACCCATGTATAGTGTCTATTCATGGTGATTTCCAGTTATTTATTCTCGTTATACTTAAATTTAATTCATTTATTGTTATAATGACATTATCATAGTTTCTATATCTTTCATTCAACGAGGTGATTTGTTTTATTTTCCAATTTTCTTTATTTAATATCACCTGCGTTTCATATAACGATTTCCAATATTCTAAAGTAATATCGTTATTTGGGTATATTTCATTTTTTGTTTCTTCATTATTCTAATTTTCTTGTTAGAATCAAACATGATTTTATTTGTATTGATTCTGATTATTTCATTTTTATTAAATTTAATTCTTTCTTTTATCATTGTCATCATATATTTTAGGTACTTTATTCTTTCCAGTGCTTTGACTTTAATTAATTCTTCATCATATTCATTTAATTTCATGATGCACTTTATTCTGTACCATTTCCTTCCCTTGACCAAATCTTCTAGTCTATTTATTTTCTTTAGGATTTCTTTTATTTCATCAAATTTGTCTCCTATTATTTTATTTTGGAGATAGAGGTGCATACACATTGAAATATTATTCATATCATCTTGCATATCCTGCATTCTGCTTCCTGAAAATATCCACCTATTATTAATTTCCATTATTAATCGGTCAGCTTCTTTTCTTTTCCAGTAGTAATTAATGTTAGTACATTTTTCTACTTTCATTTCTTTTACTTTATTGATGAGAGTGTTAAGGTATTCTTCATCAATTTCTGTAGAGTTATTCTTTAATATGTTGTTTTTATTATTGAATCACACTCTACTCTTCCTTCTATTATATCTTTTACTTTCACTTTAATGTACCGTTTAGTGCTTTCTTTTATTTTATGTGATATTTTAATATATTTAATATATTCTTTTTCATTATTGACATTGATGTTTATCATTTTTATTATACTTTCTATTTGTTCCCATCTTAATTTCTTATATAATTTCTTATTCAACCAATTAATTGCAAAACAATACAACACTTCAATTAATTTTCTATTTCTTTGTTTTGTTGTATTTCTTGTCTGATTATCATCTCTTGTTTTTTGACAATCAGTGCTTTCCTCTTCGATTTCCACTACTGTCTTTTTCATAGGAGTAGTTTCGTTCATCTCCATTGTTCCTGATGATGTTTTCCTCATTACTGGTTGTGTATTTATCACAAGTGTCATCGTTTTCTTCTTCTCTAATTCCTTCTGTGAAATAAAATTTTCAATATCATCTTGTTGTTTTGATATTATTTGTTTTTGTGTCTCATTTTCTTTTTGTGAGTTATTTAATTCTTCTCTTGTTATTTCTGCAATTTCTTGGTTTTTAATTGCAATTTCTTGATATTCAGAGATTTGTTTTTCTTTATCTCTTATTTCTTTCTTTAATTCTTTAGTATTTTTCCTCTATCATTTCAATTTTCTTCTCTAGTGTGTTTGCATTTTGTTCTAGCATTTTGTTTCTCTTTTTCAACTTTTCAATTTCTTCTTTCATTCCTTCATTTTCTTTTTCAATCTTCTTTTTATTAGCTTGGATGCTTCGGATTTTTTCTTCTTTATTATTTACTTCTGTGATTTTCTTTCCTTCTATCTCGTTTACTTTTCATTGTAGTTTTAAGTTTTCTTCTTCTAATTTTTCATTTTCTTTCTTCATTTCTTCGTAATTCATTTGAATATTTCTATTCTGTGTTTTCATTTCTGTAATTTCTTCTTCAAATTCTTTTTTAACTATTTCTTTTGCTTTTCTCTTCATTTCTTCTGAGATGGCTTGTTCTTCTTCCATTTTTTTCATACTATATTCTTTAACTTTTTCTTTTAATTCAGTAATTTGATTTTTCAGAGCAAGTATTTCTTCTTTATCTTTTTCTTCTTCTATCTTTTCTTCTTTATTTTTTGTTTCTTCTTGTATTTTCTTTGTACTTTCTTTGCTATTTATTATTCTTGCAATTTTACATCTATCATTCATTTCTTTGATTGGTTTTTGTTTTTAATTTCTGCTTCTATAGCCTTAATGTCTTTTTCCTCCCAATCTTTTGTTTTTTCTTTAAACTCTTCTTTCATCTTTTCAATTATCTTCTTCTTTTTTATTGAATATACTTCTTGAAGGATATTATACCATCTTTTCCTCTTACCTTCATATTTTTTAAGTATTTCTTCGTATTCTCCTTCATTCCATTCACTTGTTATTCTTTTTATTCTTTCTTGTATATCATTTATTGTTAATCATTTATATTTGTTATTTGTATAATCTTTATTATTATTATTGTATTTATCTTGTTTTTATTTGTTTTTTTTTTTTTTGTGTGTCTTTCATCTTCTAATCCTTTTTCCTTTGTATTTCATTTACCATTATTATTATTATGCCGTTTATTGTTATTGATATTCATTCTTTTTATATGACATTGAATTTCTATGACATGTTTTCTTTTCTTTACAATACACAAATGATTTACACAATATTCATGGTATTAAAATTTGTTTTATATCCTGCATTGGAAAAGGATCTTTAAATAATAGAATAAAATATACAAAATGAATAGAAATGAAAATAAAAAGAATAACAATAATAGAAACATATAAATAATATAATAATAAAGATAAATAAAAAATAGAAACGAATTTTATTTTATTTTATTATTCTTTTATCATGTTATTGAATTGTTATTTACATTATTCATTTATTTTAAATATTTAATTTCATCATTTTATTGTTATTTATATATTATCATTTGAAATATTGTATAAATGAAATGTTAAATAATTGTATAAACTAAAATAATCACATTTCAATTGAAATTATCATTGGAATTTATGTTTATTATGTCATGTTATATTTTCATTTCTTGTTAATAAACAAATGTGATTATATTATTTAAATAATTGTTTTATTTCTATATTCTTTTATTCTTTATTTCAATTGTTTATCAATGATTTATTTATCATTTCAAAAAGAAAATATAAAATGAAATAAAGAAATAATTAGCGTATTGATATATTAAATGAATAACATATTATTCTCATTCAATTAATATTATTCAAATAAAATATCATCATTTTTCATTATTCTTTTATTTTATTTGTAATCATTAAAAACCAATAATTAAATAAACTTCTTAAATTAAAAGAATTATTTCATTCAATTGACTTTAGCATCAAAACCTAATTTCCAATCATCCCATTTCATAGAACATATATTTTTTATATTTTCTGTTTCATTATAATGGCATAACGCACCAATCATACATACTGAATTATCAATACTATGACAACCAAACCCACGTTCATAACAAGGAATTGACATTTGTAACCCACCCTCAACACCTAATGAAGCAACAAGGTCTCTATCAGGAATTACAGCACGTGCAAATAATCTTATATCCTTTTTCTTCAACCCTCGTGCTTTTGCTCCTAAATATGTGCCGGGAGGTGATATTCCAAAACTTACTATTCCTAATTCACTTCCAACAATATTTGCAATTCCTCCTCCAAGAGAATGTCCAGTAACAATATATTGTTTATTTGATGCCTTGCTTATTTCACTTTGTACTACTGTTTTAGCAATATCAACCAAATCATAACCACTTATTGGAAATGCCTTTGAACCGAAAAGCGATAGAATATAACTTATTTTTAAAAGAGCTTGATTTGTAAATACTGGAAATATTGAAACAGACAAAGATGGCAATGCAGATTCTGTAAATAATTTAAAATCATAAACCCAGTCAGAGAATTCATATGATCCTCTAAATCCAATAACAGTAATATCATTTTTATTCGCAATAAGGTAATGTAAGACAGGACCATCTTTATTGTCATCTTTTTTCTTTTCATGAATTTCAATTTCCTTCCATCCAATACCGTCAAGATATTTCTTTATGTTTGCATACTTGTCGTCATTTACATTGTCTGCATATGCTAAATTACTTAAACATGCATATTCAAATGGTGTAATACCATATGAATCACTTTCACATAAATGAGAATGTTCATACACTTTATTTAAACCATTATTTTCTGTTCGATAATACATCTCTTCATTCATTTCATCATCATATGAAATTCCTTCATATATTTCTTTCATTCTTGCAATGAATGAAATATATTCATTTTCTTCTTCAAACATACTTTTTTTGGAGTTGAAGAAGATGAATCGCCATTTTTTGATTTAAATTTATAAACTCCGAAAACAATTATTATTGCAACAATAAGTAAAAACAATAGTGTCTGCAAAGGAATTGAACTTCTTCTAAAATTAAATCCACATGATTCTTTTAGTACTTTCATAGTTTTTTCTACATCACTTTCTTTTTTTTTATTTTCTGTTTCTTCATCATTTTCTGTTTCTATACTTTCTGTATCACTATATGTAATTGTACCATCATAATACTCATCTTCATCATTCTTTGGCTTTTTACTTAATGCTCGAATTGATGGAATAGTTCCAGATATCAATGAAAAAATAAATATCAGCACATACCCTAGAATATTTCCATTATTGTTACATGAATGTCTATTAGCATAATAAAAAGTGATAAAAAATACTATAAGAAACCCTATTTTGAAAAATACTTCACATACTTGAACTCCTAGCCTACATTCTTCATGTCTTTTTTTACAGAAACATGAAAAACAATAGTCTATAAATCTATTTATTAACGAGTTTGGTAATACATAAAATATTGCTTTAATACGAATATCTATTTTTTCATCTTCTGATTTACTTGAGCAAGCATTAGTGTTGTAGTACAATTTACATACATAGTCAATTATTGAAATAATAAAAAATATTACTCCAATACATATTAATCCTATCAATAAATAACAATATCCCATATAAGTTAATACACTTGGTTCTCCATGTTTTTTCGTTATACTACGTCCAACACCGAAACCAACAATCACACCAACAACTAGAACAATAATCCCAATATGATGAACAAAAATACATTCAAGAATCTCTTTACAATTTTTAGGGAAACATATTTTGCAAAATTTATTTTCAAACGTTTTTTTTCCATTGTCATTTGATTTTTCATCTCCAGAGAAATACCTATATTTTTTAGATCTATAATAACGTGTTTTTGGTTCAATGTAATTTGATTTTTCATATCCAAAGAAATACCTATATGATCGGCTTAGATATTCAATTGAAAATAATATGAAATAATAAATGAATGTTATTAATAATGATGATCCATATACTATCACATAAAGATAAGCGAGTATATAATACCAAGGAGTTGTTGAATCAAGTATTAAATGACCAGTAGAAATAAAGAAAAGAATAAATATCCCAAGAAGTATTACATTTGTAAAGAATAATAATTGGAATTGACAAGCAAGGGAAATAGCCGATTTTAATGAGATTAAACCTGAACAAATCTGCAAGATAATTTTACCACACTCTTTTTTTGTGTAGTAAGAACAATCTTTTTTCTTTCTTTTTGAAGTTTCTTGAGATTCTGTCATTTCAATGTTTAGATGTGTCTCTTGTTGTTGAGAGTCTGTCTTTTCTTTTGTTATTACTGTATCTCTGGATTGAGAACTTCCCATTTGAATACACTGATTAGTGTTGTAAACCCTTTGAATAAATACCATGTGTTTTTCTATTTTTAGTTTATCATCATTGAGAAAAGTTACAAACGAATTAATTTTTTTTATTACAACCATTTTCCTATCAACATTATTTCTAAATGCGGTAATATTTTCTTCATTTAGAATCTTTCTTATTATTTATTTTATTCATTCTGTATTATGATTTATCATTTTATCAATGAAATATTATTATTAAATAATTTTTTCAAATGTTGTTTAAAAATAACATGAGAAGAATATTAATTATCGAATTGTTTCTATACCCCTAAAATGAATCGAAATATAAACAATATTATTTTATAATTATATGAAATTTTAAAGAAATAATATCATATTCAAAATTATGTTTAATTTATTTATAAAAAAAGAAAGAATAATAAGAAAATGATATAATAACAATCAATCAACAAGAAATAAGAAGAAAAAAAGAGAAAAGAATGAAATTTCAAATACGTAAAATAAATGTGAAAATGTAGTTACAATATAAATAATTAACAATACCATCGAATGAACATGAAATAAGAATAAATGGAGTTAAGAAGAATAAAATATAAAAATAAAAGAAATAAGAAAATCATTAATATTTTCATACAAAGAAAGATAAATAATAATAAAAATAAAACAATGAAAAGATAAAGAATCAAACAAATAAAAAAGGGGTAAAATAATAAAATAAAGAAAAGGAAATAAGGTAAAAACAATAAAATAAATAACGATAAAATGGAAACAAATACGACAAAAACGAATGATGTTTAATTAAAAATAAGAATAAAAACATGAAAAAAAAGAATGTTGGGTAGTGTTTAAATAAAAATAAACATAAAAAAGAATAAAAAAGAAAAAAGAAATTGAAGAAGTTATGAGTAAATAATAAAATAAGGTAAATGAAAGAAAAGATAAGTGAATATTTAAACATAAAACTAGAACGATATAATCATTAAATATGAATATTGTATTACTTCTATTTATTACTCTTTCTTTATCAAAACAGTGTAATGAATATACTAACTCATATGATATAGATACAGTTGATAGTACATTTGAATGTATTGAATCAATTAAAACCACAGAGAAAGAAAATACTGAGACTATTGATTGATTGAAATATTATTTAAATGCACATGTATTCAAAGACATATTAAAAAAAATCCACCACAACCATCATTTTCAAATAATTATTATGAGAAAGTGGATATTGATTCAGAATTAGATAAAATAAATACACAAACAACAAGTCTGTATGAGTTTTATTCAGAAATAAAAAATCTTATTATTTCAACAAGAGATTCTCATTTAGGGTTTAATATAGATGATACTCTTAAAAAAACAAATTCAGAACTTGTTTATTTTATTTATTTACTTCCATTTACAATAAATATTGATAATGATAAGAAAATGTATTTAAAACCACTAAATGAACTTCCTTATACTCGTGTTGTTGTTGATGTACCAGAAGAAATTATAAATAATAAAAATGTACCAGTTAAAACAATAAATGGAGAAGATCCATTTAATATTATTCGAGAATTTGGAAAGAAATATTTAGGACTAAAATGTCCACATGCACAATTTACAGAAGCAAAATCAGCAATAATGTTTGGATCATTGAATGAAATACCATTAACAAAAGAATATTTAAATACACCAATAACAATTATATGGGAAAATGGAGAAAGTCTAACAATTAATTATAATATAATGAAATTTAATCCTATGAATCAGAAATTCCAAGAAGTACTTGAAAGAAGTAAAAGAAGAGGAATAAGAGATGGAATAAGAATAGAAGATTTTGAAGAAGGAAATGAAAGAAAAAGAATAAAACAAGAAAATGATGAATATAAACCTAATTGTTCTGAATATAACGAAGAAATATGTTGTTTAACAACAAGTAACAAAGTAAATACATTGATTGTAAATACTTTTGATGCTATTTCTAATGGGTACTATTTTTTGGATAAATTAACTGAATGTGTTGATAAGTTTGATTCAAATGATTATCCAATTCAAGTAATATTCCCAAAAAATGGAGGAGGTTTGGTGCAACTTGCACAAATGATCGAAAAGGCATTATCACCATATGATGATGTTAATTATATACTTTCAGCAAGAATATCAGAATTTACAGAAGATATAATGAAAAAAAAAATTTGCTGTAAATATGTATGACCCAAAAACGTGTGAAAGAAGAAGAAGTTACTTAGAACTTATATTTTCTGATTTATTCAAACTTGGAGAATGGTATACAAATCCAAGAATTATTATGTATGGAGATGTTGAACATAATGTTACACAGCCATCAATTGATGAATTAGAAAAAAAGATATTAATGAAAAAACCAAGAAAACCAACAGAAATAGTAGTTTATACCGATTCATATTGTTATTCAGCATGTTCATGGGTAACAAAAGGATTAAAAGAATGGGGAGGAGCTATTCTTGTAGGATTTGATGGTGATCCATATGGAAAAGATGAAGAATTTGAAGTAGGATTATCACCATCTAATAATATTCGTAGTATTACTGAAATAGATTCAAATAATATTTTTAAACAATATGGATATAAATTGGGATTAACTGTTAGAGAAACATGCAGATTTAATTATAATTACAATGAAACAATTCCAAGAGAATTTTTAACAGATATTATAGATGAAAGAGTGAATATTTATCAATTCTCAAACGATAATATAAAAGAATTTGAAGAAGAAACAAAGAAAATAGTAGAGAAATATAAAACGAAATGTAATCCAAAGAATAAAAGATTAGTTAAAAGAGATGAAAAATGTGATGAAGAAATTAATAAAAAGCATTGACATGGAGGATATGAATGTGGAGATAATGGAGAATGGAGTACAAAATGTGTATTGGCATATTGTGATGAAGGATATAAATTTGATTATATCAACAACAAATGTATTGAAGACGTTTGTCTTTATCCACCAAATCCAAGCAATGGAACAAGAGACATGAGAATAAATCTATTCATTATGATAATTGGAATAATCGCATTAATTCTCTAATTGAAGAAAGAATAATTTAAAACAACAATTTGGTTTAATAAAATAAAGAGAAATAAAAGAAATAGAAGAAGAATAGAATAGAATGCATTTTATGGAAGTGAAATGATACTAAATAGTTTTTGAACAGACACAATAATCATATGTTATTTTAATAAATAAAAAAGAATGTATGAATATGAGTTTATTTATTATAATAATTTTAATAAAATAAAAATGAATAATGTAGAATATTTCAATGATAATGTAAATTTAGCAAGTATTAATATTCGAATTTATGAATAATGATCAAATTATACAACTGAATAATGTATAAGAATGTTATAACTATTTATTCATTGTTGTTTATTTTATTTCTTTTTATTCAAATTATCATTTATTTGAAACAATAAAATATTAACAAAACTATTAAATTAGTTCAATTTATCATTGTAACATTCTTCAACTTCTTCTTTTCTTATTGTTTAAATTATAACTTCTTCATTCATTCTTCAATATAATTTTGTACTTTTCTATTTCATATATTTTATGACTAGTTTTATGTTCAGAAGTAATTCCTGAATTAACAACATATTTATTATCTTCGGTAACAATAATTCCTAAATATTCATTAATATCATTTTTCATCAAATAACCATTCATTTTTCAACACTATTTTTAAATTTGAGTAAATTGATAAAATTATTTGATACTTCATTAATTTTTATCAATGCACTTGGTTATTTAATTAATTCATTTTATCTGTTAAATTTTGAGCATCAACAAAACTATTAAAAGAAGAATTGAGTTTGTCTAATTAATCAGGAGTAAGATTAATATATTTTAATCCAAGTTGTGTATTATTTAATAAAAGTAATTTTGATGAAGTGTTTTATTTATAATACTTATTTTGTGATTATCATTACAACTTTATTGTAACTTGTTTGATTGTTGATATTAAGTTTTTAAATAATATATTACATATTTTATTTTAAATCCTTGTGTTAATGAATATCCATTAGTAATTGAAACAGAAATATCTGAGACATTTTCTTCATTCTATGCTATTAATTTTCCAATTTCAGTTGATGCACTCACCATAACTTTTTCGTTCATTTTCTATTTTATTTATTTCTATTCTCATCATATCTATTAAATTTTGGTTATTATTAGTTTTAATTCCTCTACCATTCCTTTAATTCTTTCGTTTGTAATAATTTGTGTGTCTTCATTTATCCTTTTATTAGTATTTTCATAAAATTCTCTAATATTTGAACTTATAATAAATATTGTTTTACATTTTCTATTATCAACAAGAATTTTACATCGACTCATTGTAATTCAAAGAATAGTGCCTGTGTATTTGTTAAATACAAATGTTAATATTTAATATCAAGTTGGTTTAATCTTTTCCTTTGAATTGTCATTGTTTTTAATTCAAATAATTTGTCACTTAATAATTCTTCTTCTTTTGTAAGATAATAATTCACTCTGTTAATTACAAAACAAAATTGCATTCTTCTAATTTCATTTACTATGTTTTGAATATCTTTTTCACACTTACATATAAAATAAATATTTAAATTATTAAATTTTTCATCTATGTTTTTGTAGGATGACATTGTTTCATAAATAAATGATTCTAATTCTTGATATAATTCTTCATCACAATATGTTATATTCAAACTCTTCAAATTGAATCTCTTTTCAATACATATAGCACATATTTTACATGATAGTATTTCACTTCCGTATTTTTCAATTGATTCTTTTGTTTTATATTTGATTTGTTATTTTAAAGATTCAATTTGAATATTCTTGTAAACCTTGAGATACTAAAGTTTCAAAAATACAACCAGACAAAATTCTGACTGTTTGGTATTATCCATTCACTGGAAGTCAACTAATAAGAAAACTTTTTAACATTCCCTTTAATCAATACTCTCCTTTCTTTTAAATTTGTTTGAAAATCTTGTTTTCTTTTTAATTTGTGTTATTCACACTTATTGTATTTAATACTTCTTTCTTGTTTTATTTACCCTTTTATTATTTTACATATATTTGAAAGTTTATTCATATTTTATTTTCATCACGTTATTATTATTATTTTAAAATGGAAATAACTGAATAAAATGCGATGAATATTTTATTTAGTTACTATTACACAAATCATAATGTGTAATAGCTTATTTATAAATTACATGATAAACATCATTCGATATTAAATTTATTTATCTTTTCATTCTTTTGTTTTAATATTTAATGGTGAAGTTGAGAAATGAAATAAAATATAAAATGGAATAAATAAAATAATCGAATGAGGAGATAGATTATTCATTATAAATTAATAATTTTTATATAAGAAAAAGAAAATAGAAAAGAATCTGAAAATAAGAAAGAATAAAATAAAAAGTTAAAAGAAAATTAGAAAATAATTAGAGTTTCTCGTAAGTGAAGGAGTTTATCTGCCAATCCTGTTGATGAACATGTAAAGTTCTTCCTTCTCTAATACATTCATCAATAAGTTTATGACAAAAAGGTCTTCCTTGTGGACAATTTCTTTGTTCAACCAATCCATGTTCTCCTTCAAGATTTGAACCTTTGACATACCAATCTCCCATATTTATTAATGAAGTAATGAAAATAAGATTTTGTTTAAATAGAGAAATGGAATAAAGAAAAAATATGAATGATGTTTAAATAATCTAAAATATAATAAAATTAAATAAATAAAATAGAATGAATAAACGTAATTATGAATAATTTATATAGTTTTTAATATATTTCTATTTCATACATAAAGGATAAATAATTATTTAAACAATAATACATTCCATTTAGTCATTTTTCTATTTTACATTGCTGTTATTTATTTTTATTATTTGAAATAAAAGTATTCAAAGAAGTGACAATATAATGATATGTAATTTTAAATTGATGATAAAAATAACATAACAAAAACATAAATAAAATAACAATAGATTTATAATAATATTTAAAAAGAAATAATAGAAAATAATTCTAATTACTTTAATATATTTATTTCAAATAATGTATATTTCCATAACAACAATTAAATTCCGGATTACATTTGAACTAACTATTGATAAATCCTGTTTAAAACTAATATAAAAAGAAAATTCTAAACTTGAAAATAACATTAGATTAAAAAATGATTATATCATTACTATTTATAACAATTCTTGTTGTATATTCACGTCCTATAAAACCACAACGTTTAGGTGATGGATTTATTCAAAGAGGAAATCATTATGAATATGGAACTAACAATAAATTGAAAGGTGATAATGGTGAAACAGAATTACAATATTCTGTTGATATAAAACCAAATGTTCATTCATTTGATTTTGATGAATCAATAGAAAGTGTTGAATGTCAAGGAGATGATTTGATTGTTTCAACAAACAATAAATATATTGAAACATGGAGTAATAATTCACTTGTTACAGGGTCTAATGAAATGTGGAAAACTTCATGTACATTAAATAGAAGAGTAAAGAATATTGAATTAATGTATGAAAAAGATGGATTATATTATTATTTACTTAGAACAGAGAAAGCATTATTTAATGAATATTTTAATGAAGCAAAATTAATTTATAATCCAAAGAATAATGAAGGATATAATAAAGAAAATAAAATAAAAGGATTTAGAAAAGTACATTTCAAAGAAGAAAGTAATATTGATGCATCAACAGTTAAAATAAGTTCAATTCCAACAGAAGTAGTACAAAGAAGTGAATATATAGAAGTGAAAACAACAGAAAAAACATTGCCATTCAATATTGAAACACCAATTGGTGTTATAAATGTTGTACATGATGATTATTATTGTATAAGTTATAGTCTTATTAAAGGAAGTGAAGATATTGAAGGGGAGATGATCTTTGAGGTTTATCCTAATGAAAAACCAATAACAAATATAAAGTTTATAAATTCATTCATAAATTTTTTTAAAAACATATTTGAACGACATAAAACATATACCGTCAAAGATAATAAATATTCAGTTGGTGAAATATATACTAAGTGTATTAAAATAGATAATACATATAAAGAAAATAAAAGTTACACAGTTAAAATGAAGATGGAAGGATATAAAGAAAAAGAAGGACCAATGTTTTATGTTGAGAAAGATGAATCTCTTATTGTAACAACACCCATAGAAGGAGAATTTATAGATTATACAAAAACAAAAGAGATTTTAGTTAAATGGGAATACACAAATGCGGCAACGAAAAAAAGCAAATAATTGAAAAAGAAGAGAATGAATGATATAAAAGAATAAAAAGAAAGTAAAAAGTAGAATATGATGAAGAAAGAATAAAAGTAGAAAGGAGAGAATATAAAAAGAAAGAAGATAAAGTGTAATAAAACAAAAGAGATGATAAAAGAAGAAAAGAATGAAAAAAATAAAGGATGCAAATTTTATTGAAACAAATAAAAAAAGCGCAAAATTTAATGATGCAAAATTTAATGATGCAAAATATTTAGCAACATATTTTATTGATGCAAAATATTTTGAAATAAAAATAAATCATCATTTGATATTATTATTATATTTGATAATAAATTATAGTATGTATTAAATACATCATATTTCTTTATTATTTATCTTTCTTTTTATAATTTCATATATTAAATTATTCATTCATTTATTATTTATATTTCATTTATTAAATAAAATGAAAATGAAATTGTAAAATATCAATTAAATATTCATGAATAATAATTTATTAATATTTAATAATTGAAATAACAAATAATAATAATGTAACAATAATGATATATTCAAT